AAACATCCCCCGCCGTGTGCGAGACTCAAGTCATTTGGCTCGGCTTCGAACTTGCAGCGGATTTTCATCCTGGACGGGCGGGTTTGTTTTTGGAACCGAGTCGAATATCTCGCTGCGTGCGGCGTTAGTTTGAGGCAAGTTGGTAGAATGCAAGACGAGCGCTGCAGTAGTGGGCCCGTCAAAAGTAAAAGAAATGAAAAAATGTTGAAAAAGTATTGCTGGGGTACAATTTGCCATTTTTATTGATTATGCAGGTCTAATTGGACGTATTTCTATCAAACGGAATTAGGTGCATTATGACGTGAGGCGGACTTTTTGCTTGAATCAAAAGGAAATCCGCCTAAATCAAGAGGCTCGGCTCTTCAATTCAAAGATAAATCGGATTGAATCTAGAGTATTTTTTTCTTGTCAATGTTATTAAGAGTCTGGATTCTAAATCGAAGCTACTTTTTTTCCAGTGCTGCACCACAAACGTGATTCAGTGGGTCGATAAAAATCGTTGCTAAGCTAGGGATTTATCGATCAGGATCATTCAATAACAAATCCAAAATCTACCCTCTGGTTCGATTTGCGCCTGATTTTTTAACGATTTATTATTTGATTCTTCTTTCCTAATCCAATCATGTCTTTTTGTTTCAGAGGTCAAGAGCACGGCTAACGGACTCGACAACGAAACATTTTCAATGATCTGGTAAAGTGCGCGCACCGAAGTGTTCTCCACGTCCCCGTTAATGTGGGAGACCCGTCATTAGAAATCGGAAACCGGTTGTCCACGAGATGTCGCAATAAATTATTCCATTTATACTTGCCAGAAAAACAACGTTTCATTATTTTCACGTTATTAGAAGTCTGAAACCGGTTGTCTACGAGACTTCGATTGAAATTTCACATTAAAGTATTCCATTTAGACTTGCCAGAAAAACAACTTTTCATGAGCTACATAATCCCGCGTCCGAAAATGTTCCTAGACACTCGGTTAATATCTAAAGCCCTTCATTAGGAACCGGTTGTTCTTAAAGATGCTCCCGTGCGCTCGGAGCCTCGGGTGAGGATGGTCCCTCTGGGTCGGGTCCCGGACGGGATCTCCTAGGATCGGGGCGTCCTCCGGGATGTGCGGGCCGCAGGATGGAAGCCGTCCTCTTCAACTCCTTGCTCATGTTCAACGTGGTGTTCGTCTTCTTCCTCTTCCTCGTGGCGGTCTCCTGCATCGCCTACTACGCGCCGCCGCCCTCGCGTGAGCCTCCGCCTCCGCAGCCGCCCAAGCTCCGCCTCCACCACGCCACCCTCCCGCCCGAGCGGTGTCTCCTCAGCCTCTGCTGCCCCCTCGGACCCCCGCCGACGCCGCCCCAGCAGGTCTAGCCCGGGCCCAGGGTAGCCCCTCTCCATCGTGCCTTCGTTTTTTTATCAGGTGAGTGCGTCATACCAATATATCCCATCAAACAGAAAAAACAGAAACTAAAAACATGGGTAAAATAAAGCTGAATGCACTGGAAATAAAACACATTGGATCTAGAGTCCAGACTCTTGAAAACATTGACAAGAAAATGGGCTCTTGATCCAATCAGATTTAAGCTCAAATCAAAAGGAAATCCGCTCCAATTAAGAGGCTTGGTTCTTGATTTAAGCTTAAATCTGATTGAATAAAGAGTATTTTTTCTTGTCGATGTTTTTAAGAGTCTGGACTCTAGATCCAATGTGTGTTTTTTTTTTTTTTTTTTTTTTTTTTTTTTTTCCGGTGTGTGTGAATTTGTTTTTAAATCAAAAGTTGAAAATGAACACGCGAAAGTTTGAAAGATTCGCTTTTTATTCATCCTAAATTTTCAACCTTGATCTACCTATGTTTTAACGTTTTGTCTTGCAGGATCACATGTTTGAACTTTGTAATTTGTGCATGTTTGTTCATCATACATTCTCTGAGCAGTATACCCAAAAGGAAATTCCATATCGAAGGTGAAAATATCAGACCATGTATCTCTGGATTTGGGACGTTGTTCACTTCACGTCATACTTTATATTTTAGATGGAAAACTACTCAACGTTAACTCTTGGAAACTTAGGTGATTTTCCTGCTCTGTGTAAAGAAAAATCTGTGAATACTTGAAGGAATAAATTCGGGTTGTTTTTCTTCACAAGAACAAAATGGGAGCGTGGATTTTTAAACACCGCAAAATTAAGGAGATACGTGGTCTGGAAGTTTCATCGTCGATATTCTCTGAAGCCCAGCCGAAGAGCCAGTTCCTATGAACCTTCTACACTAAGCAATCTACGAATACTCGAGAGATTTTCTTATTTTTTCTCATTTTTTGAAACCAGAAATTTTGAGTATGGAGATGTTGCATGTGTGAGGACTTTGCGATTTGACAATTGATTCTTATGTAAAAGTTTGCTAGAAACACGATGGTGCCATTGGTTGTCTCTGAAATCAACTCCCAAGCTCAAAAATAGCTCTCATGTTGAGGCCAAAATGGAAGGGGATATCCCACCTTGTCTCTGATCCCACCCTACCCTGAGAGTCCACGTCTACATCAAGACAAACTCTCCATGCAAAGATAGGGAGCAAATACATTGACAGGGCTGCCTTTTTATTTGGAGACTCTAAAACTGAAAACAGGGCATCACTGCTAATGTATTTGCTTCCTATCTTTGCATGGAAAGTTTGTCTTGATGTAGAGGTGGACTCTTAGGATAGCGTGGGATATCCCCCTTCATTTTGGCCTTAACTTGAGAGCTTTTTTTGAGCTTGGGAGTTGATTTCAGAGAAAACCAATGGCACCATCGTGTTTATCGTCAACTTTTACATAAGAATCAATAGTCGAATCGCAAATTGCTCACACATGCAACATCTCCATCGGACCCATAACATCAAACAGACTGTCGTGCAGTAAGACAGCATTTTTTCGTGGGCCCCTGCATTTCTCTGTGGCAGCTTCTTTCTGCATTTAATTACTAAATTTTATAGATTCTTCTCGTTACTCGCAAAAATTGAAAGTCACAAATCCCAATTCCGGTCCCGTAAAATAAGCCACTGGAAGTAGGATCGACCATTTTTCCAGCTGCTCGTTACACTGACAACCCCCGCGGGACGAAGGTAAAAATCCTGATAAAATCATTAGAGGAGAGAATAAAAAACAAGTCAGTCCAATAAATCAGGTGTTTTCCGGGGCGTCTTTTGTGCGCGGGAATAATAACCCGAAACAAAGCTGAGAGCTCTCGCTGAAATCCATCTCGGGCGCCGGTGCCGAGCACAAAGACCTCCGGGAGCGCACTTTCTTAATTTTGCAAATTGAATGGCTTTTGTTGGAATCCGAGACGATCCCGACTCCGCGAAGGGTGCTCCCTCTGATTGTATTCGGAAAAATTTGAAATTCTACCTCTGGAATCATAATAGAAATTGTGTAATGCACCTTTTTCAGCTCCTCTCGTCCTTGTTGTCTACCGGTGACACACCGCTCACACACTAAAAAAACTCACCGTCTGAGAACCGCAATTATACCAACTACTATCACTATGCCGCCATGCTAAGGAAAAACGCCGTATGAACCTTAGATTGTTGCCAAATTTATCCCGATGAGTGTTCGAAACTCACCTTTGAGTTTTAGGAGCCATGTGGCGCATCAAGCTTGATTTTTAGGCGCCATTGAAGATTTTTTAGGGGCCAAATTGACTTTTAGCCTATACATTACGGCATATTTAGTGAAAAATTAGACGCAAAATTATTCGTAACAGAACTTGTAAGTAGCTGTAACTTGGGAAAGACAAAAGCACTAAGGATGGAATCGTGAAGAATAGAAAAAGCTTTCACTTGTAGTGCTGAAAATTTCAAATAATCACCTTATATGAAAATTCAAATTTTTAAGGGGCAAATTTTAGAGGCCGCGTTGGCGCAAAGCCTTCGTTTTTTAGGCGCCATGGCCGATTTTTTAAGCGCATTTGTCGCGTTGGCGCCTGTGAATTTCGAACACTGGATACATTTCAATGCCAAAGGCTGGCTAAGCTGCATAGAGCATGGTAATTGATTCAAACGAATCGAGCTACAACCAAAAATAAATTAAACAAGTAATATTTCAAACCACATAACGGTCGAAACGTTTGCTTTTGTTCCTTGTAAGTTTTTTATTGTTTCTCATCTGCATGTAGTTTGAAGTATCACTAGTTTAATGTATTTTTTGGTTCGTATCTCGACTCTTTCTAATCAATTACCATGTTTTATCCCGAAACTTCTTGTCGAAAATAATGAATATATTCTCTTTTCAGATCAAATTGCGAACAAATTTCTTTGGAAAATAGGAAGAAATTTATTCCAAAGTTTTCCGGGAAATCTGTATTTTATCAAGTAAATTTGGTAACGTCCAAAGTTTTATACCACATTTTACCGTACCGTGGCAGTATGAACCCTTTCACTCCTCAAATTCTCATTGCGTGCTACGGTTGTTTCCAGAGATTCGCCGAGCTGATTATTTATGAATTCCAGCGATCAAGTAGACTGTTATTGCATTCGTAAAAACTACTATCGCTATTTTGACTAATTTTTGGGAACAACCTTTGCTTATCATGAGTTCCGTTAGCAGGAATGTGCCTTTAAAAATAAGGCACGAACAGCGATCTTTCATGCCAAATGTAGTTGAACTTGACCAAATATTTTCCATTAGAGAACAACTAGTATTGGCGCATTTTAGAGAAACCAGTTGGATGGTATAAAAAAAAAAAAAAAATGAGCCACAGCACAGTCTATAGGAGAGGAAAAGTTTGTTGTTCCCCTCAAAGAGACGCGTATTGATGAAAACAGTGCGTGTAGAATGTAGATACAAGGCACACAGATACCTATACGTACCAGGGAAAAAACGTGCATGGTGGTAGGCGCAGAGATACAACTATTCGTGCTTGATGGGTGTCCGTGTTGCATCTACAAAATTGAAGGCGCCTGGCGTGAACTCGCAATGCTGCTGTTATGGTGATAATTAGGGATCGCTCAGATTCAGCAGAAAATTACGGATTACGTCTCTCCGACCTCCGGCCGTGTTACTCACGTAGTCCTTGAAGCGCCACTACAAATAAGACAAATAGAAACAAACACAATACGGAAATACAGCAAGAGAAAGAACGCGCGTTGATGACGGCGCAGAGATACAACTATTCGTACTTGATGGGTGTCCGTGTTGCATATGCAAAATTGAAGGCGCGAAGTGTGAATTCGCAACGCTTCGCTCTATGCTGCCGATAAGGTGTCGCTCAGATTCGGGAGAAAGTACAGTACACTTACAGACAAAAAAATAATCTTATTATTTAATAATCAAAATAATATTCCTCGGACATGGTTTTCAAAATTACGACTTGATTGAAGACTCCAAAATTATGAACATTTTTGGTCAACATTATAGCACAGAGCCACTCACGTAGGATACAGAAGAGCGCCTTCAACCTACTCCGTGATCTTAATGTTAAAGTCAGATACCACTATTCGTGCATCATTGTAGTCATTTTGCATAGTCGGCTAATTGAAGGCAAATCATTGGCCCGATCTCTCCCGAATACACCTTGATATTACTGCTGCTTTTTGGATTATTTTTTAAAAAAAACCAGGCCCGATTACTTCTCTTCGCCGACCCGCACAACCTTAAATAGCCTACTTGATATTGCCAAGTAACCTACGAGACTCATCTCCCGCTCTACATGCACCTGCATACAAAAATCAGATTACCCCTCTCGCATCGTCAACATCGTGTTTTTTTTTTTTTTTTTTTTTTTTTTTNTTTTTTTTTTTTTTTTTTTTTTTATGTTTTCCCTCGTTTGTGTATTCATAAGGAGAAGGAGCTTTATTTAGGTGCCGGGCTCTTTTCATTCCCGGTAGTGGCGAAGCGTTATCGAAACAGCCCCATTTAAATCGGTAATAAACAATCGATTACTAAGGGACATCATGATAATCGATTATTTTCCATGGCTTCAAATGACAGATCAATCGATTCATCGCGAAGCACGACACCCTTTCACTCCCGCCCCGCGCCGGTATTATCATCATTTTGCTCTGCGTTTGACGTTCGTATCAATCTGGATGTCGCGAGCTCCGGCCTAGGCATGATTGCCGGACTGTTTTAAAAATGCGGGTTTATTATTTTGCTTTACATCGGGAAAAGTGCTAATTTCCGCACAGTGTGGCGACTAAGCGTGGCTCCGGCTCCGAATGCATCCGAAACCCCGGATGCGAGCACGGGCAAACAAGGATTCCGCCGTCGTCGAGATGAGATATTAGCCGCTCGTTCACGTTCGCTGACTATAGTGGCGAGGCGTGAATTATCGATTATCGATATTTCTCCTCTTTAAGCTACGGTATCGAATCGATTATTAAAGTTTCGGTTGCGAAAACCCTCTCTATCGATCCTTTTCTATAGGTTTAAATGGCGGATTAATTGA